TAAAGGGTAACTTCCTTCATCCAGTTGTTTAAACCATAAATCTTGGAGTCATCCTTGACTTTTCTCTTCCTCTCACTTCTTGTATTCAGTCTGTCAGCATATCCTGTTGGACCTCCCTTCAAATTACATTTCCAGTCACTCCTCACCCCACCCCACCCCCTGCAATACCCGTTGTCTCTGAGTGGATTAGTGCAGTAGGCTCACCACTGGTCTCCTGTCCCTCTACTACACTCAAGGTGATCTTTTCTAAAAATGGCAAGTCACTTTTCTTTTTGGATACTTCCAAAGACACACCATCTTCCTTAGAAAAAAATGTGCCATCCTTATAAAAACATTCATGATTCCCCCACAGTATACACACACACACACACACACACACACACACACACACACACACACACCTCTCTCTCACCTGCTCAGCAAGCCCTTCCTCTGATTTGCTTTCCTGTTCCTCCTGCTTCCAGGCGTGCTCTGTCTTCAGAACCTCAGTGTCTATGCTTCTTCCTAAAATGCTCTTTCCCATGTGCTCATGTGGCTTGTTCTCCACCCCGGTCTCTGGGTAAAACTCACCATGTTACCTACCACAGCCTTCCTTGACCGCCATATCTGAAACAGCTCCCCATGATCCTTTAGAGCAGCGGTTCTCAACCTTTCACAGGGGTCGCCTAAGACCACCGGAAAACACATATTTTCGATGGTCTTAGGAACCGAGACACCGCTCCTCTATCCGTCTCCATGCCCACATGCAGATACGCCCACATACGACTACCCGGCGACCCCTGTGAAAGGGTCGTTCGACCCCCAAAGGGGTCGTGACCCACAGGTTGAGAACCATTGCTTTAGAGGTTTATTTTCCATCATAACATCATTGCTCCCTGACACATTATATGTTTGTTTGTTTCTTGTCTTCCCCATTGTGATGGAGTCTTCATGAGAGCAAGGACGATTTCTGTGGGTCCACGTTCTTTTCCACCATGTCCTCAAACAACACCCGGTGCAGAGTTCAGGGTTGTGTGATTGGATGACTGACTGCTGGACTCTGGACTCTGGACTCTGCTCAGTTATCAATTCCATGCCCCTTCAGGACAGATCATTATCCATGCTGAGATCAGAGTCACTGGGGTGCTTGCCTAAAAAGCACATGCCCTGACCCCACCCCCAGAGATCCTAACACTGTACATTCTGGGGAAGAATCCAGAACACTTTTGAACAAGCCCCCCGGGTGATTTTGATGCCTGGGGTAACCGGACCACACTTTGCAAATGCTGCCTCAGTATACCAGTTTACATTGGTTTGTGTTTCTCTGCTCTGTCGAGTGTTGTTTCATGTGTATCACCTAGAAACCTAAACATAGATCTCCTAGCCCCACCCCAGATCTTATGAATCAGGGGTGGGTCCTGGGATTCTGTATTTTTTAAAAGCTCCCTCTGTGCCACTGATACAGCCAGTCCCACTAGCCTTTAGGAGCCTCAGCTGTGTTTTACAGACAGAAGGAGGTTATAAACTGAAGAGCAGGTGCTTTTTATATCTTTTTAGGCCAACTTCTCTCCCCACCCCTCATTAATCCAATGGTGTTCTGTTGGAAAATAACATTCAGTAAGTCACTGTGGCGTGAATGCCTTGATTTAGCCACAATTTCAACTTGCCTTTGTAATTTGAATATCAACCAGTATTTCTTTTTTTTTAAAGATTTTATTGGGGGAATTGGGGGAGGGGAACAGACAAGTTGCTGTCCTTTTGTTCTTCAGCCTAGTTGTGGAGGACGTCGTTTCACTGGCCCATGTTGGTGTTATCATTGTGCTTTTCCTGGGTGAGGCAGTCACTCGCTGGCCATTGGATGGCCACTCATGGCTGCTCACAGCAGCTGCTGGCCAGCCCCACTGCAGCCTACGCCATCGCCGGCGACTCACGGCAGCCCAGCTCCAGGTCGAGCTGTTGTTCACCATCTTAGCTGTAGAGGGCGCAGCGTCACTGGCCCTCATGTGGGATCTGAACTGGGGCCCTGCTGCTCAGAGCTGGCATCCCAAGCCAACTCCTAATGAACATGTCACTGGGCCGGCCCACAACCAGTATTTCTAACTACCTTTCAGTCCAGCTCATACTCTGACTAGAGGCAGGAAGTGAGTCTTAGTTGTCTAGCTCACTCTGGCGTGGGCTCTCTTTGCAGTCCTTTCTGTCCAGGAATTTTAAATGTGTGTCCCAGGTCAGACCAGACCTCATCATTCTCAGACTCTTACCTTGGACCTGTACCGGAGCACATGTGCTTTGCCTCTCCTCCACCTCAGTGTGCCTCCCTGGTCCCAGAGCATTTCCAGGGATAGGGACAAGACCTAACCCCTTGCCCGGGAGCTGCCTGGGCTGCTCAAGCTGCTGAGGAAGCTATCTTCCTAGATTAGACTCCTTCTGGGGCTGGTGGCCTTGCCCTACTTCTCTTGTGTCTTGGAACTATATCTAGACACTCTTTACAGGTCAAAAGTTTTAAAACTAAAATCCTCAGAGCATTATCAAAAGTGAAAATAAATTGTGGGGGTGGGGCAGGTGACCAGGAAATGATATTTGCAGCATTTTATTCCTTGGCTCATCTCATAACTAGCTTCCAGGTTGTGAAGAATCATCTATGAAAGCCAAAAGAGATTCTCTTGGTCAAACTATTTCTTAAATTTCTGAAGCCCCATGGAGTACTCAGTCTGGATTTTTGGATGGCCAACTGGTAGCCTTTTTAATTATGTTGGATGTGTCTGTATTCTTTGCAGAAAATGTCAGGACAGAATCTAAATAAGAGTAGTCGTCCAGGTACCCCCAAGAGGCACTTGAAACAGCACACACTGTCTGCACCCGAGAGTTTTGCCTCTGGATAAGCCATGGATTACATTTTGATGCCAGATGTGAGAAGCCATTAGTAATCAGGACAACTCCCTTGGGAAATCTCGGTCCCAGGTGATAGCTGCTTCCTTTTGAATACTTGTTTGGGGGCACCGGAGGCTGCGATTTAGCGACAAAGGGGAAAGAATTGACCCTAGAAATGTAAGAATGAGAGATTTCTAATGAGATCTGACAGTTCAAGGGCTGAAGAAGGATTCTAATCTTTTTTTCCCTGCCCACCCAGCCTTCATACAAATGTAAATATGCCTCCTTCAACAAATTGCCAAATGTGGTTTTAATTTTAAGCGTGAGACCCCGCCTTGCCTTTTTTCTTTCTTCTTTCTTCTTTTTCCTTTTTTTTTGAAAACGAAGTCACAGGTTTTACACTTTTTGAACTGGACATTTCCTTCTGTCACTCTGTCACTTTTTCTGTTGTCCTTTTTCTTCCAGGGACATTTCTTCCCCATTGTTTGTTGTCAGAGAAATTTGCGATGAGAGTTGATTGTCTTGTTTCTTAAAGAAGTTTTGAAGTTCCCATAGGAAATACATAGTGCTCTTTAAACTACTTTAAAAATAAATAAATAAGGGCAGTGATTGAATCCAATACGAGATTCAAAGTGTCACTGTCACGGCATCCTACTTTCTGTGGTCTCTGCAGTCAGTATCCATTGTTGTTATTTATGACCCGGTCTGCCTTCCATTGTGGACTTCTTCCAGCCTTGGGGAATTTACATCATTCGTAATAGCAAAAGGCTTTCTGGTTCCCACAGAGTTGTTCAAAGCCTGACTCATGCTCCTTATGTTAATTGTTCAGCTCTGAAAATACAGCACTTACAGGGTGTGGTTGTGAGGGGGAAATCTACTGTACTTATAGGGCATGTTTAGAAGTGTTTCACACATAAATCTCAATCTCTCTCAATCTCTCTCATTTAACTTTTAAACTGTAGCTCTTTTGGTCAAGTCTTGGTGGGGGGGAGCATCAAAATACAGTATAATCCAATGAAACGTATAATATTCTGTCCACCAATTCTTAAAACTGACATAGGTTGTACACGGAGATGCCTTTGACCAACATTGGTCCAGGTCTGAAACCATAAGCAGGGTTAGCTTGGGCTGCAGGCTGGTACTGAGTGGGGGGCAGGGCAGTGACTGGACAAAACTCTGTGGCCCGTGGGACACCCAGGCATCATACTGGCTGTCATCTACCAGGCTCCCTGGGGCTGTCGTTGGTAATTCCAGTGTAAATCTAAAGCAAAAACCTACTGACCATTTACCAAAACTGTTGCTGCGGCAGCCAGATTTTACTATGGAATCTGATAGAGGCGGGTACATAGTGTCCCAGAAAATGAGAGAAGTTGCCACCTTGTCTCAGTTATCTACTTGCTAACAAAAAGGAAATGATTCCAAAGGATGAAATGGGTCAACGTGGGTGACGGTTGGGAGGAGTTTACGTTTTATAATAACTTCCTTCTGAAGCTTCCACAGGAACATATAACGACAGGTAGACCGATAATCTATGAATTATATAAAACCATGGTAAAGCTGTTAATTTCAGGGGGAAAACTCCCAGTTTTTTGGTAGCTAAGAATCACAAACTCCAGTTTTCAAGGTACCAGTATTAAAAGGCTTAGATCTTGATGCAACTTTGAGTATTACAAAGGCCACATTCTGTATTTTCGTAACTAGAGAAAATGTGGGGAATTCTCAGGATAACCAAGGCGCAAACCAGGGCGCAAACCCCTGCGCCACCAGGTCCCTGGAAGATGGAAGGTCATGAACAAGCCACCGCCTGGCACCGTGACTCTGGGCTTCGTCACAGTCTGGGCCTCAGAGATATCAGATATGAGCCAAGAGTTCCCAGATGGTTTGGAATCAACATCCTGCCCATCACAGTCTTGTATGTTTGTGGTGCATATTAATGTATGAAGTGTGTGGGCTGGGAGGCCAAAAGGAGTGACAATTCACCAAAAGTTCTAGATTAAAAAAAACTATAATAGCCTAACAGTAAGCAGTGTCATCTAGTCCTGGGATGATTTATTCAAAAATAAATCTGTTCACCAGGGCCTTCAGAGTATAGCTGTTTTTTCTCATGTTCAGCAATAGATTTCTTGTTGAATCTTTGTTATCTTTTGGAATAGACGGAAAGAGCCCTCCATGGAACGTCTGATTATTTTGCTGAGTGTGCGGAGAGTCCACTTCCTCCCAGTGCAAAGCTCAAGAGAAATGCTTTGAAAGAAATGTAGGTCCAATGTGTTTCCTTTTTCTCGTTTTTGACTGTGTATCTGTATGGATGCAGAGCATGAAGTCTAGCATTCAACAAGAGTGCGCGGAACTGAATCACAAAACCCCCTCTGGCCCTGCGCCTGCCCTAAGTCTCATTCTCACTCTTCCACCTTCCTGACTCTCTCGCTTTCTGGACAATAGGAGTCAAGTCCTTGCTTCACAGGTGTGTTGCAAGGAGTGATTAATTACAAGCGCTTTGAAGATGAAAAGCACCTGTTGCTGGTGTGTTTCATACAACTTTCACAGTGACTACAGACAGATCTAAAAAAAAAAAAAAACAACTCACTTCTTTCCTAAGATGTTTGCTCGACCCTAACATAATTATGATAATCTTTGTACCCCTGATAGCAACAGTAAGAACATGAATATATATATATATATATATATATATATATATATATATATTTCTTTCCAAACTATTTTAGCTTCATTGTTTTGAGTTTAGAGGTTTATGAAGTTTGCCATTCACAAGCTTGCAAATATGTTGAAGTCAGACTCTCTAGTCTCTAAATTCTCCCCATACAGCTTTTATCCTGTCCCTCAAAGTGAATTTTACAATTAGGATGAAGTTTACATTGTCTATTGTGTGTGCTGTAGAAAAGGGTGTGTGTGTGTGTGTACACACATGCTCTTGTGTCTGCCATGATTCTATTTTCTTTCCTTGCATACTCTCTGGAATTTCTTTCAGGACATTTCAAGTTATGTTAACCAAATCTCATTTCCAATGGTTAATGAACCAGCTAAATAATGATTATATTTGAGTAATACCTTAAGATGGCCTGAGAGAAATTCCAGAAGATTATTCTTTATTTACAAATAGAAATCATGTGTGTGTGTGTGTGTACAAGCATGTCCTTGTACACACAGACACACACAAACACAGCCTCTGGATTGGATGTCTTTGACTATGTACTTCTAGGGGGAGGAGGTGTGCAGGAATCAAATGTACCAAATGTAGCAATATTGACCCTTAACATCTGAAATGAATACCTGTCTGCCTTAATTAAAATATGAACTCCAGGGGCGGCTGGTTAGCTCAGGTGGTTAGAGCGCAGGCTTTCAACACCAGGGTTGCCGGTTCGATTCCCACATGGGCCAGTGAGCTGTGCCCTCCACAACTAGATTGAAAACAATGACTTGACTTAGAGCTGATGGGTCCTGGAAAAACACATGTTCCCCAATAAAGTTTAAAAAAAATATATATGAACTCCATCGTAACTTCATTGTAACTCCATTGATAACCCAGTGATCAATAAACAGTGTATCCTGGTGTGTCCCAGTGTATTGGGAAATGTGAAGGCTATTGCTTGATCCAGCCTGCATTGAAACATACACTTGGGGATTTTTCTAGATTTACAGAGAGAGAGGGAGAAGGGAGGGTAGTGCATGCTTTCCTTTTTCAGGTGTAGGAAATGTGGTAAGGGGAATTTGGAGGAAACCATTCCATTACAGCTTAAAACAAAAAATCTTTTTGTTGTTGTTTGTTTAGTGTGAAAAGAGCTGAAACAAAAAGCACTACCGTGAGGAAATCATCCAGCAGCAGGGACATTGTGGGAACATCTAATGGCTCAGTGACTGCAGAGATGGCAGTGAGAAGGGATGACAGTCAGACTGTATCCAGCCTCCCATCAGAGTCCACGGGACAAGCAAAGGATTACATAAAGGCAACTGAGAGCCACTGGGGGCTTCCTGTTCGAAAGCTGGAAAATGTTCATCAGACGCAGCCAGAAGATACTAGCAGCCAGCAAAAACCTCATCCTGGGGAGTGGTTAGAGACTGGGCTTCTAAGCAGGAGCCCTGTCTGGAGCTGTGAGTCAGCATCACCAGGTCCAAAACAAAGTCCACGAGGGGCCAGAACACAGCAGAAACGCAGGAACTGCAGCTCTGCGCAAGGCTCCGACCACCACAAGAGAGTTGCTCTTGGAAGTGATCGATTAGTCCCAAGAGAAATAATAGTGGAGAAAAGCAAAGCTGTCAGGGTTTTGCCAACTTCAGAGCTGTCAGATCCGGGGTTACTTTTGAAACAAGATTTGGCAAAAACCATGTCTAATGAAGAGTTGCATGTTTTGGAAAATCTCTCCTCCAGACATCTTATGAAAAATAAGCCAGCGCAGGCAGAGCAAACCGGCTCAGCCACAAAGACTGAAAGATTAGCTGCAATTCAGGGCAGCCCAACCAAGAAAAGGAAGAAGTCTGAAAGAGGCCACTAACTTACTGAAGAGGATTGCGAAGTTGTGGTTGAGGATATAGTGGCCAAACCTGTGAAAAATGAGAAGTGGGTATCGATGCTGTGATTTCAAAGGAATTAGAATGATTGTTTTAAATAGGAAATACATATCTATGTTAGGGTTAGCTTTCAAAGCAGTCACCTCCAGGAGCCTGTGTGTTTGTTCTAACAACACTGCTACTCTCTCATCATACTTTATAACTAACTGTCTTGAGGAAATTATGTTAATGATAACCGCCCGTTCACTTTGTGAGGGATGACACCATTCACGATGAACTGCTTGGAGGAACCAATCAGATGCCACCGCGCAGGCGCATCACTGTACAGACCATGCGATGGACCCCGTAAAGACAGTGCCACAGAGCTGCAGTTGTTCTAGGGGTACAGTTGATCCTCTTGCTCCGCAGTCTAAGTAGGGCAGCAGTGAAAGAACAGGCCAGTGGTTCTCAGCATCTCGTCCTACTGCAGCATCACTGTCTGAAAGTCTGTTAGAAACGCAGATCTCGGGCCCCACCCCAGACCTACTGAATGAGAAACTGGGTGATTCTGAAACATGCTCAAGTTCAAGAACCACCCTACTAATTGGAGACTCCCTAGTGTGTATTTTCTCCAGCCTAGCGACCATGGCCTCCAACTTCTCAGCTGGGGGCCACATGGAGACACCTACACGCCTACTCCCTCAAATTTGTGAAGCACCTGGGTTCAGTGTATGAGTTACTCTGTTCCGCAGTTCTTAAGGATAACAGCCACAGCGCCCAGGGAGCCGTTACTTACTCTAACAATTGCAGGACATTTACATATAATTCTCCCCAGCATTAGGGAAAACATGGAAGACACTTGTTCTTGCTTGCAGCTCAAGCCTATCCCTTTCCCTGCCCTCGCCTCTAAGATTTTGGTTAGGTTCAAGATGGAACAGGACCCACGTGGCCAGAGTCACCAGTTTCCCATTTGGAAGGCTTCACAGACAGTTTGAATTTCAAAACAGGAGCCTTAGATTTACGATATCGCCCACTAATGTCTCCAGTGGGCTTGCCGAAATCTCGCATAGTGAATCATAGCAATGACTTATTTTGGATAGACACCTTCTAAAGATTTTCATAATTCAATTTCATCCTAAGGAAAATCCATCTTCAAAAGCCACCCGTCAAACATCTTTTCTTCCTGCTCATCATTGGGTGGTCCTTTGAAGTAACACCTCCCTAGTTACAAGGAAAATCAAGTATATTCCCAAAAGTGTTAGTTAGCAGAAAAATACCCCAGAAAAAACCTAACAAAATAAAAAAATATGGACACAGACAGTGGGTAAGTTTATGCTTAAGACTAATTAGTGATTTGTCCCAACTCTTTCTGTCCTTCCCATGCCTTCTTTCTCCATTTGTATTGTAGGGTAAGACTCATTAAGAAGCAACCATATCTCGTGGCATCATTTTAGGTCATGAAATTCAGTCTATATCCTGGCCATGGATATAGATGCTTTTCTTTCCTGCCTGGAAACCTGTCCCCTTCCTGTGGTCGCAACCTCACCACTCCCACCAGGAACATGGCCCTGCCCACTGGTGTCATTTCCTCTTCCCTCCTAGCTTTTTTCCTGCCCCAGCTGATTCTAATCAAAGGATTCTATAGGCTAAGAAGGAATCCAACAGAATACCAACCACAGTGGAGCAGATTCTGTTCTTCCAGTAGGGGTGGACTGCACCTCCTGAGGAAGTAGTAGAACATCAATTTCCATGGCCCATCGTGGGCCTCTCTCTTGGAGTGGTCAGTATTCTAGGTGTGCACTGAACACAGGACCACAGGTGTGTCATTCAGTCTTCTTAAACAGAAACAATGATTGGAACAGTTTCAACAGAGGGGGCACAAATAATAACCCAGATAGATAAGCCAAGAAACAATAAGCTCCCTGGGAGAGCCCAGAATAAAGAAGACAGCCCTTCCAGAACAATAGCTGCTGCCTGCCGCAGAACTAGAAGATGTGTGAACTGAAGGCACCAGAGAAAGTTTTTGTTGAGTTTTTACTTCAGTCAATCTGGGCCCAGTGGTTAAAGCCAATTCTTATACTTTCAATGGTTTTCTTTCAGTAAAACCTTGGCTTTAGAGTTGGGTGTGTTTGTGGAAATAACTACTGTGATCTTAAGAGGGAAAATAGTACCATTGGTTGCAGATGGATACGGTCTTTCAGCCATCGTGTACACAGGATTTTAACAGGATTAACGGACCGAACAGCTCTCTACTTCCATGTACTGCGGCATGTGTTTGAGGAATTTTGCCTTTAAGCATTTTTCTTCCACATGTCTGCAACACCCCTGGATCTCTTGTTATTTGAATGGTTGTGGGATCTCTTGTTATTTGAGTGGTTGTGGGATTTTTTCGATATTAGGAAATACAAAGGGGAAAATGGCTGCCAGGTTTTTTTGTTGCTTATTAGGTGGAAAATGAAGAGTTCTCCACTGCTGGAAGTGATATGTGTTTTGATATTTTTAATAATCTTAGTAATTCAGCATCTGAAAATCTGAGATCCTGTCAGTATTCTTAGTCAAAAAGAACAAGTTCATCAACCACTTAAATTAAATGTGTATTCAAGTCCCTGTAACTGTGATGCTTGGAAGAAATGTGGATCCAATTTGATTGTTATAACTTTAAACTCCCTAACTTTCTCAGTCTCATGGCTTCTAAGTCACCTCCATGTGCTTTCAAATGACTTTTTAATAGGTTGCTGTTGGGCTTTGCTTTGTTTTAGGTTGTTTTATGTCTGTAAATAAGAAATGTCTGAACAGTCAGTGTGTTTTTTCTTACACATTTTTCTTTTCTTTGCCATTGGAAGTTACTTTCATCCAGATATGCATATAAATTGTTTAATGCAAAGGAACAAACATTTGGGGAGAGAGGAATGAGTGCTGCAGCTTTTTTGTTCACTTATTTTAATATGAAAGAAGTAGGAAAATGTATTTCATTTTATGAAAAGCAAGAGTCACAGAAATCCTCTATTTTGGTTTATGGAGAATATAGCTTGTCTCTGAGTGAGCTATCTCAAGATACATCTTGGGGACAGTGATGGGATCACAGTTAATTGTTTGCTTTTGACGCATGTTTGGATTTTAGCATGAATTGTTGTGCACATCGGTGGCCTTTGATTTCAGAAAGAGCTTGCTGAGGGCAGAGCACATAAGGGAAGGAAACTTCTGTGCCCAAGAGAATGGCCTAGGATTAGTGTTGCCATTCCGTTTCCTTCAGTTCCTTCTTGGCAGGCCCCACTGTAATATTTCCACAAAATTCTAGTGAGTGGCTCTCCTTTTGAGGTAACAAATGGCTTTCCCAAGAGCCCAAGATTCTCTATTCGGCATGCTATGACTTGAATATGGAAATCATTTCAATTTCTTTTTTTTCTCTTATGAGGAAATTTCCATGCTTGGTTTATTAAGATGAGAGAGTTCATTCGTTGTTATTGAAACACTAATGAATTGAAACACGTTGGAGCAAGTAAAAAATCAAAATTAAGCTGATTCTGTTAAATGGTTTAAAGACTTTCTTAGTACAAAATAAATTAAGCATTGTAAAATGAAGGTATTTCAGCTAATTACTCAGGACAGAAATCTACCCTTAAATATGCTCGGTATTACAATTTAATGATGTAATTAAATTCTCAGAAATCTGCAGAACTCCCTCTAATTTGGTTTCTTTATTTATTTAGCAAGACAAGGAACAAATATATGTCAATGTGTAGCTTAACAGAGGGGACTTGAGTGGGTGAAATTATTGCCTTTAATTGTTGAGAACTACTCCATACTGGGCTTCAAATTACATTCAAATAAGTTTCATTATGCAGCATAATATTACCATGTGCTACCTTGTAATTGCCATTCCAGTTTCTTATCAAAAATCTTAGTTCTTCAATTAAGCCAAAATCAATAAAACCACACATTTGACCCCAAAGCCTCTGATCAGGCTACTGTAGGTGTGGATTTGACAGATCCCCAGAATAACTTTCTTCCCTCAAGTTAGAAAACCAAACACTGCAGTAATCACCATGAGAGCTCCTGTTCCCGTTGGCCTTATCCTCTTGTTTGTTTAAAGTATTTAAACAGTTATACATGTCTAGGGGATGAAAGTAGTATGCATTGGAAACGAACCTGTTTTATGAATAAAAAGTAAAGTTGTTTTAAAAACTTAAATTAGTGTGTATCACTTTTCTTCAAAACAAGTGAGTTAACCCCAAGGAATATGCATCTAAAATGCCCTTTTCTGAACATGCTATTTAAAATTATATTCTATTTACTAGAGACTTTTCCTCCTTGAAGTAATCCTGAGGTTTTAAATACTGTGTTAAAATATTCAAAGGATCTCTGCGTTTGAACCATTGATCCTGAAGATTTAGGTTTGAAAAACCCTGTGTGGGATGTTGTGATTAAATTGGCCTGTAAGGTTTTGGGGTGGTCTTTACAATGCAGTTATGTTCCCAATTGTGAGCTTAGACCCCTCTTGTGAGGGGTTAAAGAATGTGACCTTGACTCCTTCCCAGAGAATCTTGACATTTCCCAAGTGGATTCATTTCCATTTTCTAAATGGATCTAGTCCTTATTCAGCACTGAGGGAAGTCCTGGGCCGACGCTTTCTCTGTACTGCCTTTTATGACAGGATCCCAGGCCTCTCTGGTTGCTTGTAAATATATTTTCCCTCGGGTCCTGTATATAATTTTTCAGAAGCATTTCAATATCAGGTTGGAATGATACATTGGAATAGCTGTGCATGAAATGCTGAGAACCACTGCAATTGAGAAAGCAAAGCCCATTGCTTCTCCGTGTTTTGGTCTGGTGGTGCACCGTAGGGCCGAGCCCACAGGAAAGATGCCTTGGGCCTGGGGCTGGGCCCTGGATCTGGAGACTGAAAGATGGGGCATGGCGCTGCGAGCGGCACATCTGGGGCCCAGGCTGCTGCTTTGCCACTGATTGGCCTGTGTGCTTAGGGACAAGCCACTTAATGTCCTGGGCCTCAGTTTCTTCATTTGTTAAATAAAGTTCTCCTATTTTGAGCGCCACACTTGGCTCTGTAGATTCCTGAGGTAAACACCACTCCCATGCATTAATGTCTTGATTAAAAAACCATACATTGATTTCTCCATCAGTTTAAAAGCAGGTTCTTGACACTGTCCACACATTGGAATTACCTGAGTAGCTTCTAGTTAAATCAGAATCCTTGAGATATGGCCTGAGTCTTGGCAGTTCTAAAAGATCCTCAATTAATGATTCTCATGAGAAGCCATAGTTAAGAACTTGTTTAAAACTGTAGGATGTGTGTATGTATTTAAATACTGGATGTTGAAAGGCAGGGTCTGCTAAGAACTGAGTATCCTTTAGAAGAGGGGCTTTCTGGAGATCAGAAGTGTACCTGCTTTACGAATGGGCATGGCTGTGGTGAAAAGGTGTCAGTAAGCGCACACACACACACACACACAGGTGTGTTCTGTTTCCCAGTTAGTAAAGCTGCTTTATAGACCTAGCACCTCCGCGCACAGCTTCATCTTGGGCAGCGCTGAGAAATTGTTACCTTCGTAGAGAAGATGAGTTTTTAAAGCACCTAAATAATTGGGGTTTGCCTTTGATCTGTGATCATTAATATCATTAATAAGCTCTCAAAAAGTGCATGTGAATCTCAAGTTCACATTTGGCAGGGTAGTGGAAGAGTGAATGCTTTTAAAATAGTTTGGCTCGGAAAGCGCATCTGAAATAACCCTGTGGGAAAATCAGGAGAATTTCTCATCCTCCAAAGGATTACCTAGGATGAGATGCTGACCTTGTATTTTAAGTTCAGTTACATTTCTTAAAACCTCATTCATTACCCAGACTGATTTATTTTAGGGGGTGAAGTAGGCTGTGGGAGGGGACTCAAGTGATGTACAGTTTCATGTTTGCTTTGTTTTCTCCACAGTTCCCAAACGATCATAACGTATATATATTTCATTAAAAAAAAAAAACAGCGTCTTCACGAGATTTATTACAGCTTTTCTCTCAGAAATTAGAGCTGAAGAATTCTCTCCCCTTCAGGCTTCTAAGGCGACCAAGCCCCAGAAAGCCGAGTGTGCACAGGGTGAGGAGAGCGCTGACCTCTGCCGGGGGAGAGGTCAGTTCAGCACACAAGACTCAAAAGGGAGGAAGAAAAAGCAGCTCCTCAGCGGGGAGTTTGACTTGCTTTAGGGCAGAAGAGCTTTTATAAATAAGTTCCCAGTCTCCCACGCCCTCTCGCTGGCTCTTCTATTACTAGTCCTTTCTCTGTGCTTAGACACACATACACACACACACACACACACACCAACACATACAGACACACGGGGACACACACACACACACACACACACACACAGCTCTCCCCCTCTGCCTCACAACCCGCTCTCCACCTGCCCCTGGAACTGGGGAATGGACTGGCAGACCCTCCTGTGGAGGAGGCAGGTGATGGATGGATTGACTGGGAATGTTCCTAGGCCCAGTGGCTCCTAAGGCCTTTTCAGTTCCTCCTTAACATGCTCAGCTGGTGAGAAGAATGCAGAGGGCTCTTTCCCAAACCCACTGTGGGTGCCTGGGAGGATTAATACCAGCCATCCATTCCTTTTGTCAGAGGGAGAAGGTGGAATGGTAAATTAAAGCGACCTCCAGCCTTGATGTGGCAGATTGGGCTGGGTGTTTGGGATGTGTCCCAGTAGGCGGAGCCTGGAAGGACCTTCCTGTAATGATGCCAGCGTGAATCCAGGCTTGTGAAACAGCAGCGCTTTGATTTGGCTATTTCCCTTAAAATGTTTCCCTGGCGAGCCTTTTCCCAGTGCTGTCTGCTCAGCTTGGTGACCATCTAGCGAGGGAAGGCTGCCTGCGCAGAGTCTGGGGCATCTGAGGGAGCACCCTCAGTGGCTCTGCAATGAAAAGTCAGTCTGAAAGCACCTCTCAGGGGAAGAGCTCTATGTGAAGAGATCCAGGGGACCTGCTGTTGGGGTTCTTATTTCGATGCTAACAATCATCTCCAGCTGGGAGAACCTTCTGGATCTCACCTAAAATCTCTATACAGGCTCAACCACAAGCAGATTTTTCATCCATCTGTGAATTGCCAATATCAAATCGGCCTTGCTTTTTCTCTTGAAGATTGTATTTCTCGGTACTGTTTTATCAAACAGCATGTTCTGGGGCCTGGTTGTAGAAGGGATTTTGGCTATTGTTCCACAGGTTTCCACATGTTCCAGGTTCTGGTACTATCTTAGAAAAGCCGACCGAACTTGAGAGAAACCTGAACTTCCTGCCACTGGCTGTGCATGTCCACCTTTGCCAGCTGCCCACCATAGGAAGGCAAACTTAGGAAAGGGGAGATGGTGGGAGAGAACGTGGGGCTTGGTCCACTTCTTGGTCCAGAAGAAGTGACCACTGGGCAGTGAGGACAGCCAAGGAGGGACCTTTTTTTGTACTGAAAAGCTGCTGGGGGTGGGGAGGGCGGATTGCAAAGTATTTCTGAGATGTCCTGTCTAACCCACTAAAACCTCATCAAGAAAACAAGAGTCAAACATCACATTTCATAAGGAGAAAAAATTGGTCCAAGACTGTATCCTGGAGTCCTCCAAGGCCAGGTACCCGAGCTTCATTCATTTGGCCGATTTTATGAAACTATGGATATAGAAGAAAGAACGATGTTCTATTATTATTTGGAGGCTTTAGAGAGCTCTCCCCACTCACAGGCCACACGCTGTTGTATAGAATTTAATTGGGCACCAAGTTTTTTTGCAGTCCTGTAGTTCATACTTGTCTTGAATGAGCTCTTCTGCTATGCTGATTGGAAGCACAAATTTGATCTGGGAAAAAGCCGACGATTTGTAGTAAAAATCAAGTATAGCACCTCCCCACAGCCGGTCCAAGTCCCTTTAGAAGAGGCCTATGTTAGTCTGCTGTTACTGTGTAACAAATTACCAACCTAAAACAAGAAACTGATTATTGAACAGTTTCTGACTCCTTTCAGCCAAGTCCTCTCCTTGGGCCTCACAAGGCTGGAATCCAGGTGTCTGCCAGCTTTACCCTCATCTGGAGGCTCAACGACCGAACGATCCACCACCAAGCTGCCTCAGGTTGTTGGCAGAATTCAGTTCCTTGCGGTTGTGAGACTTCGAGCCCTAGTGTCCCCACTGGCGGTTGACCACGGAGTCGCTCAGTGCCCAGAGGAAGTTCTCAGGTCTCTGCCACATGACCCCTTCATAGAGAAACCTCCCTGGTGCTGAATCTCTCACATTTTGAATCTCTGACTTCTCCTTGTATGACCAGCCAGAGAAAACTCTGCTTTTAAAGAGCTCCTTGATTATTAGGTCAGTTCCACTTGGAGAATTTCCTAATTTTAAGGCTATCTGATTTGGGAATTTAATTATGTCTACAGAATCCCTTCACAGCAGCACCTGAACTCGTGTTTGCTCAAATAACCAGGGGCCACCTTTGGGGTTCCATCTACGACCAGATCCCACAGCCCTTAGCTCTTCTCTGACAGGGGCCCAGTTTAATGGCGAGAACGGACACTGTCCTTGGAATCTAGCTGGATTCCTTAATCTTTCTATGGAGTCTGTTATATCAGAGGATGCTTAGAGAGGTCCTGAGAGCAGCATTCTTCTTCCTGCAGCCCTTTTCATGATTACTAACAGCAGGATGCATTTACTATCACCATTTCACAGATGAGGGAACTGAGACACAAAGCATTTCAGACACTTTCCTAAGTAAGTGGCAGAGCCCAGAATCCAGGTCTGTCTGACCCCGAAGCCCAGAAACTGCTGTTGAGCCAAACTTGTGTGAGCCCAATGCTGCACAGGCAGAAACTTCCAGCACCAGGAACTGGGAAGGAGGGGCTGCGATTGGAATCAAGGAAGTCTGGCTCCAGAGCGTGCCCTTGACCACTGGGCACACATGGCCTGGCGACCGGCCGGGCCCATGTGGAGGCAGAACGCCCTAGAGGAAATGTTCGGGACTTCTCCTGCTGAGTGTTGGACTGAGAACTCACAGGAAGCATAGGAATAACAGGACTGTGGACACGGAGAAAAGCCAGAGGGTGTGGTGAGGCCTTGCCCCCTGCGCCCCAACCGCGCCCTTCACCTCAGACACGTTTTCCGTAGTTTTGTGCAAACCTGTAGCTGTTTCACATGGGTGCTTTTCTTTGTTTT